GCCATGGCGGGCTCACCGCCCCCGGCCCGTCCCGGGGTCCTCGCTCGCCGTCCGGAACTGGAGGGCTGGCGGTCTCCCGGGGCGGCTGGCGGCCGGTGGAGTCCAGGGCTTCCCCCGAGCGCGTTCCCGCCTCCTTCCCGGCCGGTCTGGACGCACCTGCCGCGCGGTCCACCCGCAGCGCCTGCGGCACGAGCGCCTCCGGACGGCCGACCGGCGAAAACCACGCGGAGCCCTCCGCGCTGCGGGGAGCACAATCGCGACCCCGCCCCGCACACGCCCCCGCGAGCCGCCTCCGGCCCCTGAAACCTCCTCCTGCGCCCTGCGCAGGCTCACAGCCTCGGGCGCGGAGCCTCCCCGCCGGCCGGGATCACAGCGGCGCTTTCACTGGGCGCCGGGCGCTCAGCCCTCCTGAGACCGCACAACAAAGGGCTCAGCTCGCGCTGGGGGAGGAGCCCGCATTCTTCCTTCACAGGCACGGAATTCCGTAGCACTTCCTGCTTTTCCCTTACAATTCAGGAGTTTGCCCTTAACTCCTAATATTCCTTTAAATTGTTTAAAATGTTTCCGCCGGGTGGACGACGTGGTGGCCAACGCCGGTAATCCCAGCATTAGGGGCCCGAGGCTTGATGGAGACTAGAAAGCAGCTCTGAGCAGGACTTATATTTACCAATTGGCTTTCCGTATTTCCTTGTGAGTCACTGGTCCCCACTGAAGCCTGTAATGGTGCGTGAAGCCCTGAGTCCTCAAAGGACAAGATAAGGTCACACAGAGGACGTTTACCTCCAACCCCCATTCGCTAAGAGACTGTAGCTGCAGGGATCTCATTCCTGCAGTGAAGGCCTTCCTGGAGATAACACAGTTCTCCTACATTAACCTAAATATTACTTGAAGAATTCCATAACGGGTTTCCCCAGTTCTGCCCAGATTTCTCCATTTTCTTCAGTATCCTCCTTCTCTCTTTGAAAACCTAATAAATACGGGCCACTCAGGGAAGTCTTGGTGTCAACCCAGAAAACCTCTAAAGTCTGTAATAGGGTTGAACCCTCCTGGAGCCCTGAAATCATTTCAATTGTTTCCTTGATGTAAGCCTTGGCTGTCCACTCATTTGGGAGATTGCAGGCCTGATCAGCCTGCAATAACTAAGAGATACTCTTAACGTAATAAGGCTGAAGCAGGAGAATGCCAAGTTTGAATACAGCCTACACAATTTAGCGAGACTAACTCAAAAACAACAGAAGCAACACTAAAAAAGGGCTAGAAATGTAGCTCAGTGCAAAGGCCCTGAGTTCAATACCTAGTACCAAAAAAAAAAAAAAAAAAAAAAAAGTCTCACGTTACAGATTTGCACTCCCCAAAGAAGTCCAGAGAAACTGAGGCAGGTCAGTACGCAGAAGTTGGTCACTGCTGCTGAAAAGCACTATGTTCTACTCTGCAGATCACTGATAGCGGGAACGAATTCCAAAGCCCGATAGCTGGGTTTGAACCCACCTCTAATACTAACTAGCATGACTAAGCACGTTGCTTAACTTCACTGAGCCTTAGTTTTCTCATCTGCAAAATCTGGAAATAATAATGGTCCCTACCACATAAGCGTTGTGATTGAGACGAAGTGCTCACGACATACGTTGCTTTTGTAGGGCTAGAGATGGAATGCAGGAGGGCTGGGGATATAGTTCAGCGGCACAAACACTTGCCTGGCAAGTGCAAGGTCCTGAGTTCGATACCCAGTACCAAAAAAAAAAAAAAAAGATGTAATCCAGGGCTTTGTACATGTTAGGCAAGTACTCTACCACTGAGCCACATCCCCAGAACTATACTGTTTTATTCTATTTCATTATTGGTAGTGTGATTTTAAAAAATAGCAAGTATTTAAATTTTAAAAAATGGGCCAGGTGTGGCAGAAGAATCTTCAAAAGTTCAGGGCCAGCCTGGGCAACAGTGAGTTAAAAGCCACCTGAACTACATAGTGAAACCCTATCTCAAAAAAGCAAAAAACTCGAAAGTTTCAGTGTTTAACAGTAAAGGAGAGCCGGGCGTGGTGGTGCATGCCTGTAATCCCAGTACTGGGGAGGCTGAGACAGGAGGATCTTTGCGAGTTTGTGAGCTCAAGGCCAGCCTGAACTGCACTGCAAGACCCTGCCTCAAAAAGACAAAACAAACAAAGAACAGTAAAGGAAACATTGTCATTTATTCCCCTCAAAACACTCTCCCTTGCCTGGCACACATAACCCGTCATTCTTACTACTTTCTGAAGCAGTTCTGTAAAGTCCCCCATTGTGGTTGACTTTAGTGTGCAGCTGTTTCCAGATGTTTACTTTTCATACTGTGACTTTGGGGAAGAGCCAGAAGTTTCATGGTGCAGGCCTGATGAGTAAGGTGGATGAGAACACGCTGCAATGTTTTTATCAGCCCGCCTTTCTGTTGGATGGCACTCAGTGACAGCATTTACAGTATTTTTGGTCATACACCATAAAGACACTCACAAAAGGATCGGGAACTACTTCAAAAAGTAGCAAGAACAATGGGATAAATGTGTTCCATGGAAGGGGGAGTACTTTAAAGAGCTCTGTCTTACCGTAATACATTTAAAAACTTTGAACAGATACGTTATATTTTGATCACACCTCATACAATGCCAGTGGCACCTCCTGAGGGTACTGTCTGACGTCCTAGAGGGCCTGGGCAGGGAATGCACTAGCATGGGTCAAACGTCAGGCAACCTCCTTCAGCGAGCAGCTTGTGAGGGCTAGAAAAGGCCTGGTTCACTCCCGACCACTCTGGGCAGCACTGATACCTATCCTTCCCACTTCATCCTCTTCCCAGGACTTCTCCCTTTGCCCCAGGCGCCCTCAGTGGAAGCGGGGCCCTGGCTCCTGCCCCGCCCTGCCCCGTTTTATTGCTTCCTTATTACATGACCTTGAATAACGCTTAGCCTTCCCATCAGCCAAACCAGCGGCGTAGTCCCAGCGCCGCTCCCTTCCCGGGATACCTCACGGTCCCCGGACGCGACTGGGCCGTGGTCTTGCACTGAATCCTTAAAATGACCGCAGGACCATGAAAGAAAGGTTGTACGGGAGGAACTAGGGGCCCTCACCTTCCCATGTGTGCGACCCGATCACAGACTGCGGAATTGTCAGGTTACACAGTGTGCGCAGCTGGAGCTTCACCCTAGCAGGAGGCCTGGGTTTTCATGTGCGAACCGACGGCGGCTCGGGGCTGACCACCCAGGGGGCCAGGGCAGACCAAGCGGCAAAGGCAGAGGGTCACGAAAACCACGGAGCAGACGGAATCGGAACAGGCTTAGCGGCACTACTCCTTTCCAGGCCTGCGCCGGGGGAGTCGCTAGAAGGGCCCTGACTTTGGTGAATTCTGAGCAGGGTCCCCGAGCGGAGCTCCCGGTGAGGGCTGGGGCAGAACGGGCCACCCCGGGCCTTCAGCTCCGGCGCCGCGGGCCGAGGTTCTACTTACGGCCCCAGGTCCAAAGACCACAAACAGGGCTCCTGGCTCTTCGCGTCCCCGCGGCGGGGGACGGCAAGGTCTGGGGAGCGGTCTGAAAGGTACGGGGTGCGGCCGAGGCGTGGTGCCCCGCAAGGGCGCCGCCTCCCTGCAGCTCCGCCGGCGTCCGCACCGGGACCGCGTAGGACCCCGCTCCCCCCGGTCCGGGCCCTGCGGAGCTTTCACAGGACGAGTCCTCGGAGGAGCACCGCCCCGAAGGCCCGCCCACGGGGTTACTAGGCTGAGGACGCGTGCGCGGGTGGAGACGGGGCGACAGAGGACGCCGCGGCAGGGCGTGCGGGCGCAGGCGCGGCGGGCGGAGCTGCTGAGGTTCCCGGGCACTTCCGCTTCCTGAGCCGCCAGGTCCGCGGAGGCGCAGGCGCGGCTGTGGAAGGCGAGGAGCCCGGGCCTTGGAGCCTCGTCCCTCGAAACCTTGGCGCTCGCTCGCAGGTCGGGAGCTCCGCCTCGCCCTTCTCTCGCCTCCCAGCCCACGCTCGCTCCCTCGCAGCCGCCCGCCGCCCGCCGCCCGCCCCGCCCTGCACCCGCCGCTTCCGGTCCGACCCTGTGCGCCAGGGTTTCCCTTCCGCCGGAAGCTGGTCCGGAAAATGCTTTTCTTGGTTCGCCCTCGCGGTCTAGAGGTGTCCGTGCCGCTGTAGGTTTTCCCTTTTACAAGGGTAGCCGAGAAAACCTCAGAAAAGATGTGTGTGTGGTAAACACACATATTTACTACCCGTTAAGCGATGGCTCCCCGCTTCACCCCCACTGTGTCCTGGCAACCGCCATTCTGCTTTATGATTTCTACGATTCTGGGAACTTCATGTATGTAGAATCATAAAATAATAAAGTATTTGTTGTTCTTTTCCTTGCCGTTCTGGGAAGCGAATCCGGGGACTGGCGCTCTCTACCACTGAGCTGCATTCCTATCCCCAGTGCTTTATTTCACTTCTTGAAATTTCACTTAGTGTAACGACCTCAGAATTGTTCTGTCTTAAAAGGAGTGAGCCAAAAGGCTCAATAAGAAAGCGTTTTTCTCTTTTTTCCCTTTCTTTCTCTGCTTTGCAGCCGGAGGGGAATACAGAGTAGAGAGAGAGGTATCCCTGAGGTCAAATCTTGCAGCACAGTAGGTCTTGGCTTTTGCTCCTCCAATTAGGACGCCTTTGGAAGGCTGCTCTGACTCCACCCTTTTTATATTAGCGCATGTTGTTTTGTTTGTTTTAGACAAGGTCTCTCTATGTAGTGTAGGCTGGCCTTGAACTCACTGTGTATCTGCAACCCGTTTAGAACTGGCAGTTTCCTCCTGCCTCAGCTTCCTTAGTGCTGGGATTATGGGCATGTGCCACCATGGATTGTGATACCTTTCTGATTATCCTGTCTTTCCATTCCAGCTGCTCTGACCTTATTCCATACCTAGCTTCCTATAGATGTTTTGTAACTGGTTTTTCTGTCTCTAGCCTTTCTTTGCTTCATTTTGATGTATTAGTACCTGAATAATCTCTTTTTTGAGACAAGATCTCACTAAGTAGTTCACGCTGGCCTTGAACTCACGGTGATTCTCCTGCCTCTCCCTTCCTAGAGCTGGGATTACAGGCGTGCGCCCCCTTGTCAGGCAGTGTGATGCTCCCAGACACTTCTGTTTAGCCTTGTAGTCTTTCATGTAATCTGATTTTGGGATACAAAGCTTCCTTTTAGGTAGACAGGTCTTTTTGCTCTCTGCTGCTCATCCTGACTTTCAGGCCTGGAATGTCCCAGTTGTCTCTCGCTGCCCACCTTCTGAGCTGTGTCAGGTCCCAGGTTCTGTGCTGGAATCCCAGCTCAAGGGCAGGGTTTATAATAACAGCATTTCGCTGGACCTGCAGTGTAGACTTAGTGGGTACTTAGAGTTGATTGTCAGGTGTAGTCCCAGCTCCAGGAAAGCTGAATTAGCCCTCGTGGAAAAAATCAGAAGTCAAAAATAGTATGCAATGTCATCTCAGATCCTTTCACACTGTTTATTTCACTAAACTTATACTTGCAAAAATCGCTAAAAATGTTCCTACAAATACATTTTGGCACCTGCTTTACTTCTATAAAAAATAGCTTTTATTTAATTTTTTGCTTTTGGTCATTTAGTGATAAATTTCTAAATATATTGTAGTATGTGTTTTGTGGTCTTATTTTAGTAACTTCTGATGACTTTTGAGAAACAAAAATTTGAAGTTACCAATCCAACCCACTAGAAAAGTTC